CGCCACTACCCGCAGGTGGCCCAGGCCCCAGAGGTCTCCTGGCTGAAACGATCATGGGCCTGCCTTCCCGCTCTGCCTTTTGGAGGTGTGCCTGCTGCCCGCCCAGGAAGGGGCAGCCCCTCTCCCCAACAGGGGAAGGGGATGAGAAGCCCCCATGTCACTAGCCCCGCTCTTCTCCACGCCTGCCTGGTACCACAGGCTGCTGTGCTGTAACTTCCTGTGGGGGCAGGGCCTTCCCACCCAGGCCAGGCCTGTCACCAGCCTGCTGAGGGTTTCCGCCCTGTAGAGAGGGTATGGGAGCGGGCCTGGTCTCCCCTCAGACCCTGAATGGCACCTCTGCCTCGGCCCGGGCAAGGCCCCTCTTGCCCCTAGGAGTGGGCGAACGGACTGGGGCCAGGTCTGCTCCCTGGGGACTTAGCAGAACCAGCTAGGGTGGGAGGAAGGGAGGGAGACTGCGGGAGGGAGGGGAAGTTGGGGAAATGTCTTTTTTGGAACCAGATGATTAAGGTGGTGCCTGAGTCACTGCGGCAGGGTTATCGAGAGCTGCACAGTCAGATGGCCCGGAAGTGCCCAGGGACCCAGTTATAGCCGCCCCATGGTGCTGAGGTCAGCAGTGGGGGCAGCGGTTCACTCACTAATCTCCTCCACGATCTTCAGGAGCACCCCGCCGATGTGCGACTCCCCCGTGACCCGGAGGGTGACTGACTCGGCCTCCGGGTCCTCCTCTCCCACAAACACCCGCAGCTCCCAGGACGAGTCGATGTAGTCGCCGGTGGCCGTCTTCATTCCCGCCATGGCTGCGGCGACTCTACAGAGGGTGGGAAGGAGGCAACGTGGGCAGGGTGCCGGGGCCTGCTAGGCTGCCCGTGTTCAAGTCCAGGGGGCCCCGTGGTGACCTGGACAGGCGGCCAGTATGTCAAGGCAGCATCACGGGTCCAAGACACGGGTGCCAATTTGTTCCAGGCAAGCCTCAGGCCCCCTCGCCATTACCGGTGGTTTAGCTGAATTGGTGTTGTCCGACCCGCTCCCACCTTCCAGATAGGAAGACTGAGTCCGGGTAAAAGTAAGAAGGGGGCTCACCCAAGATCACTCAGCTTGAAGCCAGGGCCCGGCACAACCCCTCTCTGCTTCTCCGGCTCCCATTTTGCCCCCAAGCCCACCCTGGAGGGGTGGCAGCTGCCCACCCTGGAGAGAGTTGTGGACCCAGGTCAGGAGATACGTCCAACCCTGGCCCAAAGCTCAGATCCAAACATCCCAAACCAGCCACGGCCTCTTTAGGGTGGTGGAAAGTCCAGAGTGTCCCGTGGAGAGAGGCATGTGGGCAGAGGGGCCATAGGAGGGTGAAGGAAAGGGTCCCTGGGCCTTCAGCCGCCGCCCCACTTACCTTGCCTGTTAGGGTTTGGGGGCTGCAGGTGTGGGGGCTGGAGTACGCCCACTCCCGGCCTCAGTCTAAACACCTGCAGATCAGTGAGTGCTTCCTTCCCCCTCTTCTCTGTCTCTGGAGCTTCCTTCAGAGGGCAGCCCCTTGCACCTCCTTATCAGGAGTGGGGCGGGCTCAGCCCCTCCCCAGGGCGGGCTGGCGCTGGGTGCAGGAAGCGAGTTGCCAACATGCATGCGGAGGGTTCCAGTTGGGGCCCCACCTTTGTTCCCAGTGAGCACAGGAAGCAAGGAAGGAATGGGCCCGTGCCCC